ATACAATTGTTTTCTTTCTGTACTAACGTGAAATATGGTAGCTTACACCGATACACAGTTATTTCAGGTTTTAAACTTAGTTGTGTTTCCATGGATGGATATGATTAGAAATTATTGGTAATCGTTTTGTAGATTGTACAGGATTTTGTATAGTAACAATATGTGTATTATTAGCCTGGATTCATTTTAATTATTAACTGAACATAGGCATTCAACGTCACGTTCTGTCTCATTCAACAAATAATGTCACAATTCTCAAGTCCTTTGGATTTATCAACCAGCATGAGGAAATATCAGTCATCATCATCATCATCAATATCAATATAGGACCAGGCATTACTGCGTAACTGTCCGAGTTGCCACAGCTCATATCAGTACATCTAGTACAAAGGTAGTGAGGTGAAGGATGAAGAGAAGAGAATACAGTCAAAACAAATATAAAGTACGAAAAGAAAGAAAGGAAGAATGACAAAATGGTGAGATTCGGTATAGCGTCGTTAAGATCAGCATAATGTGTGTGGGGATACTCTGCACCACTGACATCGGTTCTCAGCCATCATACATCACCTAGAGTCAATCTCCAACCACTGCTTCCTCTTGTCCCACCGACCACAACCACCCAGTCTACATCATCCCACATAGCTCAAACCAACAGTCAAACACTTCATACATTGGTGCCATGTTTTAGTCTGGCCACCTCGGGCCTTCCTCCAGCCTGGACCTACTTCGACCAACATTGTGTGAAGAGGTAATCGGTGACTAGGCATACGTAGTACGTGTCCCAACCATCTCAATCGATGAAGCTTGATAACCTCATCAACTGATTTACCTCTCCTACCTCACTAAAACCCTTCACCTGACTTCTGCATTACTCACATGGTGACACCACGGAATACGACGGCCTATACTACGAAGGCAACGTCGGTCAAACACTTGAAGCCTTCTCATATCTTCCACTTTCAATGGCCATGTTTCACAGACATACAGTAGAACAGAGTGGACTGCTGTGTAGTACATGCAACTTTTAATAAACAATGGGATATCACGGCGGCACCATAGGTGGTGTAAATTGGCAAAAGCTAACCGAGCCTTTTGTATTCGTGCAGAGATTTTATCGGCAACTGAACCACAAGGGCTGGTCCTACTTCCCAGGTAAGTGAAGTGAAGTGGTCGACACACTCAACCACTTCACTCCCTATTGTTAGTAGTCGTACCGCTGAAGACCAATCGTGGAGTAGCAATTTGCATTAGGGTGGTGAGAACCGCATCTCAAACATTCTCAAATTAACACTGAAAGTGTTCAGAAGACTGCATCTTGTCAGTGTCTTCACTTAACAGGACTATGTCATCTGCATATTGTAGGTCTAACGAAAATTCTGCTGTGATTAGGTCAAAGTGTGTGTAGTTAGGTGACGAGAGGGAGACCTGCATAAGAATATCTATGGTGAAATTGAATAAGAATGGAGATAGTGGGCATCCTTGACGGATACCACTGGATAAGCATAGTACCCAGACATCTTACCATAGGCTCTAACATGCCCACAAGTGTTCGAGTAGAGAGCTTTCAATAGGGTGATGTACTTACTCGGCACACCTTTCAGTGACAGACAGTGTCATAAGACTTCTCGATCAACGGAGTCAAATATCAGTAGATAACTGAAAGGTGTGATCATCTTAGGTTAGTGATAACTTTTGTTCAGGAAGCCAGTCGTGATTGTGTATCAAGTTAACATTAACTAGTCTGACAATATCGCTTGCCAATTGTTAGCCATAATACAATTTTGAAGTTCAGGGATTATAGATTGACTCTTAATAGATTATACGTTACTAGGAGTCTTTTTTTCTTTAGATCCTGTATTTTGGACAAGTTACTTTTCTTACAGTGAATAAATTAGATGCTCACATGGTCTGTAATAATAGGTTTATACAACTTCATTTTGTTACTGTTTACAATATATCCAGTAGTGACTAACCACAACTGAATCAGTATGTACTGAGTGTTAAAACGTTGTTGATGAAGTTTGTTATTTCTGTTTAAGGGAAGTTGATCATCTTTATCCACTAAGGGAGACTATCATTCCCTACACCCTAGTTGACATGGCTTAATTTTATTGCATTTAGCATAGGTACATCGACTATTTTGACTGCTGTTGAGTAGAGAACTACTTTTAACTTTTTATAAGATAGTTTATCGCTGTTACACTTCACTTCAGTTTGTAGAACAAAGGTAAACACCACTATCATAAATTTAAACAGCGTTATGAGAAGACAACGATTATCTGAAACATATGTGATGTATTAGCGCTATGCATTTCGAACAATCTGATCATATATATGAACTTGTTGAACTATTTGTATGAAAATTTACGAAAAGGATAAATGAAGTCAATAGGAGTCATAAGAATAGGAAGGGAGAGAAAGAGAAAAAAACGTTAGTCACGTTACTCTTGGTATGAAAATTGAAATCAATCCTTAAAGGGAGGGGGGTTGAATTTACGGATGGCAAGAGCTTCGATAAGTTTAAGCTCTCTGCTCTGACCATTGTCATAGCACTAATATTTCTCTTTTATGCTGAAAGTACGATTTTTTGTCTTATGGATGGTTATACTTCAAAGGAGACATCTCGACTGGATACCAATCAACAACTGTCTATGTGGGTATTGATATCCAATTGACTGGGACTTTAAAAACTAAGAAGGATCGTGGGACCAATTGATGCTTTTTCGTAATCTCCGCCTATTCCCTCATCGACTATAATTTAGACGATGCAAAGAATGAATTCTATGAAAAGCTGTCAACTTTACTACAGGAAGCAAACCGTTCAGACATACAGTCATAATGACAGGTGAATTTAATGCTCAAGTAGGAAAGCTGAGCCATTCGGAATGGCATCTTGAAGGGGTGTATGAAATCCCATGTCAAGAAATCGACAATTTTGTTCCTACAATCACTTGTTTCTGGTTAGCACTAGCTTTGAACCGACATCAAACCAACGATGGACACAGACAAGTCATATTGCTGAAAGTCATTGTTGAAAAGGATCAATAGACGATTGCCGCTCTTTCTGGAGTACGTGTTTCGACTCCTATCACGCGTTGGTACGGGCACGTATGTCCGCGTCTTACTGGTGACAGGAAACAGGGGATGGTAAAGCTTATCTATACTTGACCGGAACATGAGGACGTCAAATGCGTATTTAGGGAGAAGTTAGCTAAGTGCTTATCTGAAAATGATACTGATGCTCATCCTGAGGAAGTCTGGCGTGATATTAATTCTGATGTATTAACAGCAGTAAAGAGAATTTGTAACCTACACCCATAGGTTAGCGAATGCCATTTTATCCCAACTGATTGACATGAGAAGGCTGATTCCAGCTGGCTCTGACCACAATGATGAGCGAAAGCAACTTAAACGTAAATTGACCAAGAGTTTTTGCACAGAATGATCGTGATCAGTGGTAGGGTGGTGGAAGCAAGAGAGACGGAGAAGGCATCAGAGTTGGGTAGCACCTGGCAACTATTTAGGCTCATTAAGGATTCGAACAAGAGGAGGACGATGGTTACTGAAGCCATCACCGAGAAGGATGGGGCGGTGATAGTCTCTCAGGATAAACGGCTAAAACGTTGGGCGGAATACTTCGAAGCGCAGTTCATCTGGCCCACAGCAACGCTTCAGTTGTCCATCATCCAACCTGAACCTGAATGGGACATAGTTGTCGGTACTATAACTGTCCTTGAAGTTGAGAAAGCTGTATCGAACCTGAAACGATACAAAAAGTGGGACTTGACAGTTTGCTACCCGAAGTTTTCAAGGATGGAAGTAGGAAATTGTTGATTAAAGTGACAGAGGTTCTAGATAGTGTATGAAAATCAGAGGTAGTGCCGTCAGACTGGTGTACTTCAGTAATCACCCCAGTCCATAAAAAGGGGGAGAAGTCTTCTCGTGACAACCAAAGGGGGATCAGTTTGACTAATTTTGTGTCCAATATCCTTGGATGCATAATTATCTGAAGCGTAGCTGGAGGTCGAGAACAATGAACTCTACAAAACCAAGCAGGTTTCAGACCTAAACTAGGACACGTCGAATCAGATTTTCACCCTCCGACAGGCAGGGTGAACGCAGGCATACTTGCAGGCGTTTGACACTTAGCATATTTGTTGACCGAAAGGCGGTATTTCACTCCGTCGACTGGGAAGTGTTGTGGCAGTTTCTGTGAGGGTGTACCTAGCACGTATATAACACTAATCAAAGCTCTCTACTCGAACTCACGGGACCGTGTAAGGGCTTGTAGAGAGTTGTCATCTGAGTTGACGACAACTAATGTCCACCAGGGATACCCACTGTTACCGTTCCTATTTGACTTCTTTAGAGACGTACTGATGGATATAAGCTTAGGTAAGTCTAAATTAAGGGGGAATTGACCTACTCACTGGAGGTCATCCGGTTGACTTATAGTATGCAGAGGATATTGTCCTGCTAGGTGAAGACGTTAATAAAATGCAGGGTCTTCTGGGCGCTTTGCTCAGAAATCTGAGTATTTTCTATATGGTGCTTAACGAATGACCTGCAGTCACTCTCATTTTGATTACAGCAAGTAAAGTGGCGGGATGTGCTGATTATTTCATCTAATTGGGAGTTCGCATAAGTTCAAATGGGTTGCTTCCTGATGAAATCTCAGGTCAACTTGTGTCATCTTTGGCACTAGCCGGCGAGATATCCGACTATCTATCAAAGCATGAGTAGTAGTATAATGCACTGCAGTCCGTTCTGTCCTGTTATACGTCAGTGAGATATGACTGTTGAGAGATTAGGAGATATGAAGCAATTACAGGTTTTTGGTCACAGGTATCTTCGTAGCCGTCGTCTACCTCGACACTGCCATCCTAGGTGAAGTTGGTTTAGGTATTGATACATCTTGAAAAGTTGACAGATGATTTTTTTTCTACTGTTTTATGTACTTGTGATAATCTGCTTGTTTTTGTCTTATGCATCTTTTACAGCTCATCATCCCTCAACATCTTTATCAACAATCCAACCGTCACATGTGGCATGTTAATATTTCGTGTTTCAGTTGTTTTAATGCAGTTGAATTCTTTTCTCTTTTTTTCTTTCTTTTTTTTTTTAACCATAATTGTCATTGTTATTAATTGTTATATCAGTATCATGCTTCGATTAGTCATCATCGTTTTGAATGTTCAATAGGAGTAATTAATCCCTATGTATAACCGAACATTATAATAGATACAGCTGTATTCCATATATATATATATATATGTGTGTGTATTTATAATCGGGAAGGATAGTTTGCTTGGTGTGTTCTAGCTGTGTGTTGTTAACTGTTGTGTGGTTTTTGTTTTCATCAATTTTAGAACGATCTCTGCCGCCATATTCTTCGTATTGCTGCAGACGAAAGATGATTCTTTTTTGTTTTTCCTTATAGCTCTATTTTAATGATATTCACATTTTGTTAGTTTCCATTGCTTCTTTTCGAGTATTCTTTCTATAGTTTACATTTGTTTTTGTTTTCACGGATTATTTTAAAGTTTATTTATTAGGTCCCCTTATTCTTTGACTTTTCAATCTTTTGAGGGAGTTGTGGGGATTTGGAAATATTTCAAGTTGTTATATTCATCGTAGACTGGCATCAGTCGGATGAACAAAGGAAACCTGAGAGCACTAGATAGCTGTTTCGTCCTAGTGTGGGACTCCTCAGCAGACCATTGGATTCTGGCCCAGTGGCTCAATGGTAACGTGCTTGCCACGGAACCTGAATGTCACGGGTTCGATCCCTGGTGGGGTCATCGGTGTGCACTGCTAAGGAGTCCCATACCAGGACGAAATAGCTGTCCAGTGCTCCGAGGATTCCATTTTTCCTCCAACTGATGTCAGTCTTCGATGAGTGGCAACTTGAAATATTTTCAATCTTTACTTGCGCACATATAGGTACAAATAATTGAAGTCAGTCAACTTCAGGATATTCTCCTCTTATCAATATCTCCTCCTTTGGATTCATTATGCCATCTAGTGTATAATTATTGTCATTATTATTATTTTCATTGGTCATAGTAACCACAATACTATTTTATGATTCCTGTTCAATCATTTTCTGTTGTCTATTTTCCTATTAGAGCTGTGACCTAGAGGTCACGAGTTCGAATCCCGCTCCGCTTACTTGAGTAAATTTTGTTTCATTCTGTTTGTCTATTTTGCTTGATTCACTTTCCTCTTTCACTTATCTGTATAATATGAATCTAGGCAATATGATGAATACTGCTGATAATTGTTATGTATTCTAAACAATTGGTTTCACCTTTGTTTTTGTTTTTGTTTTAATTTTTGGTTGAATATTTCATATGAATCATGACTGACTATTGTTGATCCATTCCAACTTTGTCGGTTTTCTTTATTTCTCTGTTCTACTCCACCTGTTGCTTGATCTTATCTATATTATGATGCTTTCGTAATTACATTCATTTATGTTTAACAAGGTTGAAAATTTGAATTTCTCTCCTATTGTTTTTTTTTCGTTTCACTTTCTTTCTTCCTTTTAATCGTGATATCTCTGCATTGTCGAGTTGTGTATCGTTTTTCTTAAAGGTGTGTGTGTGTGTGTATGTACGCTTGATACTTCCTTCCTAGTCTATCTGTCTGTCTATCTATTTCTGTCTGTAAAAGCGAACACAACACACATGTTTTTACTGATTCCATTCTTTGTATCTGTACACTTAGCTTATTCTTTGTTTATATCCTCTTTCACAGTCGTCATACTCAATTGGACTGTCAGTCAGCATGACTCATATGTGTATATCTTTTAGAAAGAGCGAGCGAGCTAGCGCGCGCGCGAAACACTGTCCGAGATAACTAGATATATATATACACTTGTATTTGTTGTATATTTATTTCCGTATGCATTTTTATTGTTGTTTACCTTCCTCATGCTTATATGACTGTTGTTTCTCTTTGTCATTGTTTATTTGGCTACCGTTAATCCTGAGTGTAAGAAGAAAAGGAGAGAGAGAGAGAGAGAAGAAACGACTTCACTTGTTCTTTCATTGTGTGCTTCTTTTTGCAAACAACAGTAGGTTATAATTTTTGATGAATTTTAGCCATATAAATGTAGAAAACTAATCATTTGGTTATCCAAAAATGAAAAGAAGGCTAGTTTTTAATTTTCATAATACATTACTATTACTACTACTACTACTTCCTACTGTTTTCTTTTCAGTATATAATGTTCTCTGTTAATTTCTTTCTTTTTTTTAAATTATTTATTTTCAATTCACTGATAACATTTAATTGTATGATCGATTAAGAAAACCTACAACATATACATGATGAATATGCTTTATTAGCGGAAAGTTGTTATTCTCTTCTTAGATGTATAAAGCCGGGCATTCCTTTCGATTATTAGTGTCAGTGGATGCGGTTTTATTCAATGACTTGCTTACTGAATCACATTATTAGGTTATGCTTTGCTAATTTCTGATATGAAGTTTAGGAACATATGAGAATGTTTGAAATGCGTTTCTCACCACCCTAATGCAAATTGTTGCTCAACGACTGGTCATCAACGCTGTACCACTGCGGATAACAATAGACAGTGTACTGGTTGAGTGTGTTGACCATTTCACTTAACTGGGTAATGAGGTCAGCGCTGTGGCTCAGTGGCTGATGAAATCTCTGTACGAATACAAAAGGCTTGGCTAGCTTTTGCCAATTTACACCACCTATGGCGTCGCCGTGATATTCGATTGTCTATTAAGGGTTGCGTGTACTGCACAACAGTCGACTCTGTTCTACTGTATGTCTGTGAAACATGACCATTGAAAGTGGAAGATATGAGAAGGCTTCAAGTGTTTGACCGACGTTGCCTTCGTAGTATAGGCCTCCGTATTCCGTGGTGTCACCATGTGAGTAATGCAGAAGTCAGGTGAAGGGTTTTAGTGAGGTAGGAGAGGTAAATCAGTTGATGAGGTTATCAAGCTTCATCGATTGAGATGGTTGGGACACGTACTACGTATGCCTAGTCACCGATTACCTCTTCACACAATGTTGGTCGAAGTAGGTCCAGGCTGGAGGAAGGCCCGAGGTGGCCAGACTAAAACATGGCACCAATGTATGAAGTGTTTGACTGTTGGTTTGAGCTATGTGGGATGATGTAGACTGGGTGGTTGTGGTCGGTGGGACAAGAGGAAGCAGTGGTTGGAGACTGACTGTAGGTGATGTATGATGGCTGAGAACCGATGTCAGTGGTGCAGAGTATCCCCACACACATTATTCTCATCTTAACGATGCTATACCGAATCTCACCATTTTGTCATTCCTTCTTTCTCTCTTTGAGTACTTTATATTTGTTTTGACTGTATTCTCTTCTCTTCACCTCACTACCTTTGTACTAGATGTACTGATATGAGGTGTGGCAACTCGGATCGTTACGCAGTAATGCCTGGTCTCATGTTGATAGATAATGATGAGTTTGGCAAATATAGTTGATCTGTGGGATTATACCAGATCCTAATTTACGTTTGCCTGTTTATTATCTACTGTAGTAGATTTTGCTCACTGAAGAACTGGATACATCATTATAATCTATTTTGTCGTTGGATAACTTGAAATTATGGAAATTCAGAGGCACTGACATCTTCATTTACCGGTTTACTAACCATTCCTCTGTGTGTGTGTGTGTGTGTGTACACTAATGGTTGCTACTTGACCATATATACGTGGTTAAGTGGAACAGGACCCAGTTGTTTGAAGACAATTGGCTTATGAACGACATTAGGAACCTTCCTACCCACTCCAAAATTATGATAGGGATATGTAGATGACACATTTACTATATTGAAATCAAAATATATTCAAAGTTTTTTCGCACACATTAAATCGATGGTAGATGAAATCCAACCCACTTATGGATTAGAAAATGTTAGATTGCAAAATCAAGAGAGAAAAGATGGAAGCTATGATGCTGAGCTGCCTAGTCGATAAAATCTGGTCAGAACTGCCAGGACCGGTCACTTCACGTAATCTAGTCCTACAGGAAGTCAGTGGTAACGCTGCTGACTGCACTACTGAGTGACGCAGTTTAGTATCTCAGAAGGGGCATCACTTCCGTTGAGGTTGAGGGTACGACTTGTCGACGAGTGCTAACAAACACAAAAGCTAGGTCCAGGGCTCTGTGCTGATTGCCTCCAACCAGCTAACATCTATCAATGTGCACCGCAGTGGTGAGCCTTTTAGCTTAGTGTCCACATTGCAAAAATGATCGATAGAATTCGGCCAGCGCTTTCTGGACTTGACAACATGAAATGGGTTACCCTCCCACGACCAATCAGTAGATAAAAGCCCAGATACCAGTGTTTATAGGGAAGTAACGCATTTCAATAGGTACCTGGATTTCACATCCCCTCACCCCATATCTATCAAGGTAGGTCTGGTGAAATGACTAGTAAGTTAGAAAACCTGGAAAAGGAACTGAAACACTCGAAGGTACACTACTTCGTAACAACTAATCTGTAGAATTTATAAGGATTGATAAGAAAAATGGAGGTAATGTTAGTGGTGTCTTTAATGTTGGGATTAGAGTGGCAGGAAAGGACGGATCTGCAATTCACTCGCAGGGGAGACGACTGGAACAATGGGCAGAACACTTCGAGGAACTGGCCTCCAGCCACCATTGCATTGCCCGCTATCCAGTCGGATCCTGAATGGGACATAGAGATAGGTCCCCCAACACTAGAAGAAGTTGAGAAAGCAGTAGGTAACCTGGAACGAGGAAGGGTAGCAGGACCAGACGGACTACCTGCTGAGGTATGCAAGCATGGCGGTAAGGTGCTCGTAGTCAGGCTAACGGAAGTGTCAGCTAGTATATGGGAATCAAATACGATCCCCTCTGACTGGTCTAAGTCACTCATCATCCCAGTCTTCAAGAAAGGTGAGAAGTCCTCTTGTGATAACCACAGAGGAATCAGCCTGACGAACATAGTATCCAAAATCCTAGGTTCTATAATTCTCCGACGCCTGGGTGGAACCCTGGAACAAGCGCGAGAAAACCAG